CAAAGAAGACAACGACGACGACAGAAACAAATCCGACAAATTAGTAGAGGTTTGTTTTGTATTGCATTCTTGTTTCCCTGCCTTTGCCATTGTTTTCAGGGTCATTGTAAAACATTTTGTACTGTACATATATGTATGTAGATGCAAACATTAGAAAGTGAAAGTGTGCATGAATGAAAATCACAGGAGGCGTAGAAGAAGGAGGATGATGATGCCGAAGAGGGAACATGGTGTTTTTCTTTTGTTAGGCTTTCATATTGTCATATGTGTGACAAGTGCAATGACAAGCTCATTTAGATTTTTAATATAACAAAATTTAAAATGTAATTTGGAAATAATATAAATTATGGCGGGATTTTGTGAGGGAGGGACTTAGTTAAAATGAGTAAAGTCATATTGGAAGTCATATAGTCGTGAGCTTTATTCTCTAGGATGATTATTTAAAATTTATATATTAAACAAAAAAAAAAAAAAAAAAAAAAAGAGCTTTGAAAATGTGCTATTTTTCTAGGAAGTTTGGAATTAAAAATGGGATATATCGTCCACGTTTAGGTATAGGTTGCATATAGCACATGTTCCAATTACTGGTATTTGTTATCCCGGGATATTGTAGGGTGAAAAACATATTAAAGAAAATGTTCGATATCAGTCCATGTTTTAACGTAGGTCACATATAAAGGTATTAACCCAATTTAGGGATTTTAAAAGTTTTTACCGAATTTTCTCATCAAAATTACTGTAATATAACATTCCGGCTACTTTGAGAATTTAATTTTTAGTTCACGAAACATGGCGGAGTTAAGGATGAGTCTATATAAAATTTGTAAATGTCTTTGAAACACCGCAAAATATTTAGTCTTGGCGGTCCTCCGAAACCATGGTTTTAAAGTCGCTGTAATTTCAGAATCCGATTTATTGTAGGGTGAAAAACCTATTTTATGAAAATTGTATATATCGCTCCCATTTTGAAATAGGCCCTCTATTACAAGACCGCCCCATTTTCGGTATTGTGAAGAGTTTAGACAAGTTTTGCAACAGTATTGCCTGTTATGTGGTATTATGGATTCTCATTGGATAAAAAATCTCCATACAAAATAAAATTTCAATATTAGCCCATGTTAACGGGTTAGCCTCCATATAAGAATACTCTTTAATATTCGGTATTTTGGAAACGTTTTTCAACCGAATTGGATGTAATTCAGTATTAGGCAGAAAATCTATCAGCTAAAAATTATCATATTATTATATTATTTGTTCACCTTTATGGGGTAGCTCCCATATTAAGGTATCGTCACAATTTCAGTATTTTGAGAATTTTAGACAAGTTCTGCAACCGTTTTGCCTGTAATTTGAAGAAGAAGATCAGACAAAAATAAAGTTTTTGGTCCATTTTATCCCCTAAATATTAACCAATCTTTTCCAAAAACAATAGGAGTCTTCCTTGGCCAGAACCCATTCTACATGCAAAATTTCGTGAAGATTGGTCCATAAATGTGGTCTGTATCCTGTTTACAAATTATAATGGACAGACGAACAGACGGACGAACACACATGTCTAGATCGACTCAGCTAGTCGAGATATGACGATCGGTATACTTAAAGGTGGGTCTAGGACCAATATTTCGCGGCGTTACAAACTTTTTGGGCTGCACAAAGCTATAATACCCTGACAACATAGTTGTGTAGGGTATAATTATGATTCAGGGTAGCACTCATATAATCGTACACACAATTTTCGGTATACTTAGGTTTTCAGGAATGCATTTGAACCGAATTGGAAGTCATTATATATTTATACCCTTCACCACACTGTGGTACAGGTTTCTATGTCTTTGTGCATATGTTTGTAACAGCCAAATGGAAACGAGATAGAATCATGGATACTTTTGAGGCCATGCATAGTATCCTGAGCCGATTTATGCATGTCCGTCCATCTGTTTGTCCATGTTAAATTGTAAACAAAGTCAGGTCGCCCTTATGATTCGAATGAGATGAAATTTGGCACAGCCCACTTATTTGGCCCAAGGACAAGCCCTATTGAAATTGAAAAAAAATTGGTTCAGATTTTAGATATAGCTCCCATATATAAGTGACTATGTTTGACCGATTGACACAAAATTTTACACAGCGAACTTAATAAGGCACAGATTGACGTATTTGAAGTTTTGTATAAATCGGTTCATATATAGATATGGTTCCCGTATATATTTTCGTCCTATTTTTTTTATAAATTATGTACCAAACTTCCAAAGTTTATCTAATTCATTTGGAATTTTAAATACTGTATTGAGTCTAATATGATGTGTGAAAAGTTTCCTGGAAATCGGTTTATATTTAGATATAGTTCCCATATATATTTTCGTCTGTTTTAATATTAATGGTGCACGAAAGTCTCTATATTTAACTCGATTTACACAAAATTGTGAGCAGTGTATTGAATTAAGCCTAGCACACATCATGCTAAGTTTCGTTGAAATCGGTTCAGATTTAGATATAACTTCTATATACATCTTCGTCTGTTTTTCTGTAAATGGTTCACTAAACTTCAGAGTGCGCAAAAATTCGCTCGCGAATGAATTGAAATACATTCTTTTCGTTTTGTGCTCATTTTACGAATGAATTTATGGCGATAAATTCGAGCATTCGCCAAAGAATGTTCGCACACACATAACAAACGAGTGAGAGCACACAACAACGATCGTTCGTTTCGTTTGGTGGTTGAAATTCTTTCTGACATTCTCTCACGAATGAAAACAAACATTCCCGAATTCTTGCGAATGTTATTTAACTTTTTTGGTAACCACCTTATAAAAAATATGGCATATTAATGAAATGGTTAGAAGCGAATGGTCCAATATGTTATGTATACAACCAAATAATTTATTGAGGGCCAAATAGGAAGTACACGATGGATTCAAAACATAGTAATCATACTATATTTTGCATAAAATTTGCCACTACGTGGTAAAAACGTTATTCGATGCGGAGATATGGGAGAATTGGTTTTAAAATATAGGTTTTAAATAAATTTTAAGTCAATTTGAAGATTATACTTATTTATCAGATTATTTGAGACATAATCTTATAATCTAAATTTAGAGGTCGCGCATGATTACCTTTGTGGAAAGTTCACACAGAAAAATATTATTTCTTGGCATGGGATATGCAAAGTGCAGTACAATACCTTTTGAGCGACTTTCACAAGATGCAAACAAGTAATGCCACAAAATAATTAATAGCAGCCCGAACTTTTGTTAAAGCCGAGTCCAAAAAGGATTTTATTTAGTATTTTATATTACAATCCGACCTTGTAATATCCTTAAACAGCCATAAAGTTATAACATGGATGATACTAAGTCGTGCATTTGGGAAGACAATATTTTATATATAACTTTGATGTGTGTTTTGAAAATTTTGTCAATGATAAAAAAGTAATTTATTGTAATTTTTTGTATTAATAAAAACAATTTCAAGACCCTTTGTATAGGAAGTATATCAAATCTTGGTCCGATTTTTCCAGTTTTTGGTCAGTTGATTTATAGGTCTAAGTAAATGTAAATTGCCAATTTTCATTGAATTTGGTTGAATATAAAAGATTTTATAGGCCAAAAACGATGACATTCTCAAGACCCATTATATGGGAGGTATACCAAATCTTGGTCCGATCTATCCAATTTTTTGTCAGTTGCTCTCTAGGCCAATAATAATCACATGTACCAAATTTCATTAACTTACGATAACTCCTTCTATTTTTGCCGCTGTTTATATGAACTCGCGACATAGTGCGACGTTTGCATCGAAATTTTATCGTTCGTGAATTTTTCGTACAATGCGAATATTCGCGAGAGATTGCAGTGGCTGAAATGTGGTATTCCCGAACCTTGGTATCTAAACGCAGGCGATTTTCCCAAAAACAATTTTCCCATGTCCGCCATTTTCATAATTTTCGGTTGAAGTCAATGATCCTAGTTCATACCAGAGTCACATATGTACTAATTTTCATATTGCGTTGGAATTTTGGGATTCGGATGTTGTAGTGATCGGCAATCATGCCCGTCGTCGAAAGAAGGACTTTTCTTTAATCAGTTTGTCAATTTACTTTCTTCTTCCTTAAATCTTCAAAGTTGCAAGTCTTTAACATAATGTATGCTCATTTGCCAGCAGTTTGAAATTTGTCGAAATTTGAAATCGAGAATATGTGAGTTCCCCTTAAATTTGGTTCAGTTTATTTGGTCCATTGGCGGAACCTATTTTAATTGATGAAAATCTGTTCAGATTTAGATTAGACTAAAAATCAACACAGGATTTTGAATACCTCCTTTATTCTAACTGGTTTTAATATCGGAGATCTTCTGGAGATTGAATAACTTTTGAAGACTTCTATAACACTCGAGTGTAGACAATGTGGATTCTAGTGTAAATTTTTAGTTTATTTCCTTGCCTAGTTTCTAAAAATAATTATTAAATCATTAAACCCTTCGGTTTCTACTGTCTTGTCAATGACATATCATTGTCATTGCCATTGTCACTGTGACATTGAATGCCATTGTTTTGGCATTGTTGTTGGTGTTCAGGGTTTTTCTCGGTTGTTGTTATATTATTTCCTTATGCCCTTAACAAAAATCCACTGATCTCATGCATGGCCACAGTATTTCATCTGTGGACTTGGAAGGATTTACATACATATAATCTATTTTGTATGACATCTTGGCATCGGACTTGACTTTATAATGTTTTATTCTCTTTCGCATGAATATGAATGCCATCACATGTTAGTGGTGAATTTTCTTTTTGTTTTCTGCGTTTTTTTTTTTGTTTTTGTTTTCGTTGCCAATGTCAATGGGGATTTTTTGCCCATGGCTAGATGAATTATTACCATGACCAAGGCATGTGAATTATAGCACATATCATAATTATTTTGTTGTCATACATACACACATGTGCGTATGTGCGTATGTACGTATTTGCAATTTGTTTATGAAGAGAATAATTTCATTTTTTGTTTGTCTCTCTTTCTCCCTTTGTATTTACAGTCGCCCAGTCGTCTGGAGACAGCGGCCGGCACTTCAAGTGAACATACCACAGGACGCCAATTGCAACGTGTCCTCCACTATTCGATGACACCATGCATGCAAGGACCCTTAAGATCCGAATGTGCCATTCATGATGTTGACTGTGATGAAGTTTATCCTGGCATCTATATTGGTGATGCGTAAGTAACTACCGCCGCCGCCGACGTTGCTGTCGTCATTGCGGCTCGTGCTTTACTTAAGTGACATGTAATTTATATTTAATTTCATTCTGTGTTCTTTTTCTTTTCGGTACACCAACACACGCACACACACATACGTGAATACAGAGCATCGGCGAAAAATAAAACTTTCCTGCGCATGAAAGGTATTACACACGTCTTAAATGCCGCCGAAGGTTGTCGTTATGGCCAAGTTGATACAGGGCACAGCTATTATCGTGATATGCCAAGCATAAGGTAAAGTTTTCAAATATCATTCATTTGTCACTCACTCACTCACGACAGTCAGTCAAGTCAGTCGGTGTAACATTCACATTTGATTAACTCATTTGTTTTTTCATTAACTAATTACAAAATAAATTATAAATTTTCTGTTGGTTTAATTTGTGTGTTTTTTAAATTTAATTATACACAAGTATACAGGTTGATTTGTTGAAGTTTGTTAAGATGGGATATGTAGAGCAAGTAAAAATGACAGGGACCTACAATTATTTCGAATATAGATATCCAGGATGGAAAATGCGGTCAGGACCGCATCTGGCAGGATTAAAAAAATGATTTGTAAATTTTCTTTGCATTTTGGAGATTTAAGTGGAGTTTTAATTAAATGACCCCATTCAATTTTTCACTAGGCTATAAAGGGCTGACAACAAACATATCTTCGGACTTGTTGTGAATGTTACGATGTATAAAGGTTGGATCAAACCGAATATTCTAAATATTCTAAATAAAAGAATTATGGGTCGTGAACATTGTGAGTTATCGTGCTCATTTTGTTGGTCCAAGTTCTCCCCAATTTCAGATAACACAACAAGATTTGGGTGATGATATATACACATAATCGGTACAATTTTTTAAATAAAAGTATGGTTCTGACTTAATTAAAATACGTAGATATATCGGGTAAAAATTGGAAAACAGTCAATTATAATATAGGACAAGAAAAAACGTTGCTACGTTGCTTTTTATACCCTCTTCCATGAGGTAATCGTTCGGGACCTTCATAAGTGACGAGAACATTTTTTGTAGAAAGATTTGACAAGCAATGAACATAAAATTGGAGGTTATTCAATTAAAAAACTTGTCCAACCACCCCAAAGTACCGAATAATGATGGTACCGTTAAAGGAGATAGGATAGCACTAAGGTTTAGGATAACCATAAAAAGTAGACTGATATCGATAATTTTTGGTAGGGATATTTGCTACCTAAAGTACCAAATTACAGCCAATTCAACTAAAAAATTGGCTCAACTACTAAAAGTATCGAAAAATGGGGGGTACCGTTATATGGCGGCTATCGTAAGAAGTTGACCAACATTGATGGTTATTGGTAGGAAGATGTGTCACCCAATGACAACTCAACGTGCCACGTTGTAGTCAATTTGATTGAAAAACGTGCTCAAATTCGCCCAAACACCGAATAATCGGCAGTACCGGTATAAGTGGATTATCCTTGGCAAAATTACCATAATACCGAATATTTGAGGGTATAGTTATATGAGGGCTACACTACATTCTAGGATTTATAGTAATGTGTATTTTTTGGAGTAGTAGATGTATAGTGGTTTTTGGAACCGATCATGGCCTTGTGGCTAGGTTCCCATTAATGAAGAAATAAATAAATTGAAATTGAAAAATGTCAGAGCTCTATTTAAATATTGCGAGCCCTGTCGTGATTTAATAGATAGACAGACGTACAGGCATAAATCGACATAGAATTTTATTCTTATCATGAATATATACTTGATGGGGTCTTCAGTGATTATTTCGAGGTGTTACAAACGGACTTTCGAGTACCCTATTTAAAGTCTTATAAGCGACATTTAAAATACCTGTATGTCAACAAATCTCGTCTTCGTCGACCGAACCAAACTTTTTCTATCCACTATGTGGGGTGCATTCATAATTCCTTAAATCGGTCGGGACCTATATAATGGAAATATGTTGTTTGAAATACCAAATTATCGACCCTTAGGTTGAAAAACTAAACTAGGAACTTTAACAAATATTAAACGGGCCTGGTGGGTATTAAAAACACTGTGTGTAAAAAGGAGGACGGATATCGAAAATCAGCTGTAAAGATGTTGCTCATAGTATATGGCCAATCACAAACTTAAACACAAACAAACAACAAACAACAAACTTTCCACCATTCAGACCATAAATTCCAATTTGAATTGAATCAGTTCTGATTTAGAGAAGCACCCTTACATAATTATCTTAAATGTTTACCACTGTACGAACAATACGAATTAGATCTACTATATATATTCCTATACGAGGGCTATAATAATAAGAACCAGCGAGCGGAGCAGTATAGTCGGACGGGGCCGACCATACAATACCCTACACAACTTCCATGAAAATCTAACTTTCTGTGGTTCTATATTCTGAGATTGAACAAATATTTCGCGATATTTGCACACTTTTGACTGGCTAGAGGTCAGCAAATATTACTAATAATCAGTAGAGCACCTCTAATTACTTGTCCAGATTCCCTTCACCGTGCGTTGTGTTGTGATGTTCGGCTTTCGACTCGAAAAGTACAAATAATTAAGTGTTCGGTCCACTTCATCCGAACATTTCAAAGCGATCAGCGCTATATTTCCACCCTCCAGTGTGGAAATAGGTTACTAAATAATATATGAATACGTAAGCACCTGTAAATATTTAAGTGTAACTCCCGCATCCGAGTACCTACGACAATATAATTGGTATCAATTAAAGGTCAGCCACTCCTATTGGATATACTATCAACTTTTCGGGTCTATGTCCTTCAGTGGTAAGGGTAGGGGTCTTCATTGGCCAGAACCCATCCTACATGCAAAATTTCGTGAAGATTGGTCCATAACTGTGGCCTGTATTATGTTTACGAATTATAATGGACGGACGGACGGACACACATGTCTAGATCGACTCAGCTAGTCGTGATATGACGATCGGTATACTTAAAGGTGGGTCTAGGACCAATATTTCGCAGCGTTACAAACTTTTGGGGCTGCACAAAGCTGTAATACTCTGAAAACATAGTTGTGTAGGGTATAATGATTAGAGATGGTATTTACTGGGTAAATACCCAAGAGGTGCGTAAAGACCGATTTGCGGGTATTTATTTGAGTATTTACTATATTGAAAAGGTAATGGAAAATCTTAAACGGCATTTACATTAGAACTTTTTACCGGGTTAACCTACCCTATGAGGATTTATTTGAAATGTATACAATGGAATTGACAATTGAAACCCAGTGGGTTAACGAAATCCGGAATAATGTAAACGTACTATAACGCCCTATTTCCGGGTTTCCGGGTTGGGTAAATACCCGAGTATTTACCCAAAAATTGGGTATAAAATCATTAAGTGGCGAACCAATTGATATAAACGGTGAAAAATTAGTTCTCATGTTTTTAATGTCAATGCTAATACTGGTATGGGAAATGGGATATATGGGTCCACGTTTTTATATAGCACAATATAATCGTACCTCCCGATTTAGGGTAATTAGTGTCACATTTTACAATCAAACATTTATCAATGTAGGTCCACGTTTTCCGGTAGCCCTCATACATTTTGAGTATTTATTCAAAAATTGGTAATAAACGTATTAACTGGCGATCCACTTGACATAGCCGGCCAAAATTTACCTCACATGTTTTAATGTCAAAACTAAATGGAAAATGGGGTCTCTGGGTTCATCTTTTGATATAACGCCCATATAACCGCATCTCCCGATTTAAGGTAATTTTTGTCTATTAGACACATTTTACTATCAAATTGGCATAATTTGGCACAGGAAGTTCTCTATGGGTACCAAAAATCCATACAAAAATTTATTGACATAGGTCTACGGTTACTATTAGACTATATATCTCGGTCCCGATTTTGGGTATTTACCCACTGTTTAAGTAAGAATCTCTTTTATATGCATTGTTGGGAAATGCATCCTTTGAACGCTCGTGTTCATTGTGTTTGTTTTGCATACTCATTTGAAAACTGAATACTCCTTATTATTACAACATTGAACTGTCAGTTTTCTAATGAGTATTGTTTGGCGCCAATGTCACTTTGCAGCATTGTTGTTATTGTTCATCTCCTTCTCGTATCGATCGCTACTCGTAACACAGGTAATCTGTTCTTTCTCCTTTTCTTCCCCTATTATTATTTATATTTAATTTATCAATAAAATTCTGGAATCAGAAACTAAAACGGTCGTGTTTTATTTCTTTCCCTTTTTCGAAACGCAATTTCGGCGCCTAAACACCCACTTTTTGGGTATAAATAAACTCTTCAACAGTCGAACCCCATGACGTGTATTTAGAAGACTCAGAAATTCTGGTGATTTATGAACGAGAATATTTGTTCTGAAAATTTGACAAGTAACGAGACATTAAACCTCTGTGGTATCGTTATCAGATGTTTCTTGCTATAACATGAATTTAGTTGTACATTGTATATCCTACGGACGTTTCGTTTTTTTTAAATAATTGTCTGACCACCTTAACAAACCAAAACAACTCCGTATACATGTATTAGTGTCTTATAATTTTTGGTTATTAACTTATTTTTCAAAATTTATTTTCATATTTTCTTGCAAACACCTACCATATACACACGCCGATTATTACACTGAATTTACAACAACGACAACAACAACCATGATATTTACACAACAATATATTAAAAATGTATTGGTTGATTTTCGCATGGCATTTTCAATCTTTTCATTTGCTTTGTAAAAAAATATTGCATTTGAATCGAATCACGAAATGACACATACACCCACACATGTAAATACTATATCCTTCTCACACACACATACTCTAACATCCGGTGTGGACAACCATCAAACGCGTATATTTTTATATGAATATATATTTTTGTGAGAGCAGAAGAAAAAACAAAGACACTATTTTCAGGTATATGGGCTTCCCAATGGTTGATGCTCCAACAACAGATATTTCACGTTATTTCTATGTGGCCGCCAAATTCATCGACAATGCACTGAGCAGTGGAGGTAAATAAGATGATTCTGTACTTTGTATGGTTGTCATGACTAATATCCTTTTCTTAAATATTACAGGTAAAGTTTTGGTGCACTGTTTGGTCGGTATGTCTCGTTCGGCAACCTGTGTTCTGGCCTATCTTATGATTTGCCGGAAAATGACAGCTGTTGAGGCCATACGCAAAGTTCGCATGCATCGTGATATTCACCCCAATGATGGTTTCCTACAACAATTGGCTGATCTTGATATGGAACTTAAGCGGAAAAGTCTATATCCCTATTAAACCAAACACTAGACCCTTAAAAAGAACACAAATCCCGAATCATACTTTATATTTATATTATAATAATTATTATTATTACGAATAATGATACACATACCTACACACACACCCATACATATTTATGATAACATAATGTAAGATGATGTTGATGATGAAGAAAAAACAAAAATGAAACAAAAAAATCCACATATAGTGATCTAGTAATGAGACCATTTTATTCGACACCTAAATGACTTCCATGACGGACCCATAACGGACAAATGGACTGAAATGAATAAAATCCAAGAAAACAAAACAAAAACAAAGTGAACGATCTTTTTGAACTTATTTTATAGAAAAAAAAGAAAATCAACAACAACAACAAACAAAATCATCAAAAATGCAATGAGGACTAAAAACAATATTAATATTTAATTATTTTTTTGTGTAGAATTTTAAAAAATAATAATAATTTTTTATGTATTATTTAAATTACATATATTAAAAAACAAAAACAAAGAAAACAATAATAATCAATTATGGATATATACATACATATATATAAAGTATATTATTTAGTAATTAAATTGTAAAAACAAAAACAAAATCTACTGACAAAAACAAATTTAAGAAAAAAAAATGCTGAAAATCCAAAAGAAGATATGTCGTATATAAGCAATGACTTTCTGTAGCCACACATTGAAATTCACAATTCCAATATTCATATATATTTAATCGAAAGGATCCGCAAATTTATTTTGCATTACTCCACTCCACATACCTACATAAGATGTAATCAATTGTCACTTGTTGCATACTTTTAAGTGGTAGTGTAAAAATGATACTTAGGAACTTGACACACATTTTGCTGTGAACGATTACGATTATTGAATACGATAATTGCTATTTTTGTTTATTTAACCCTTGTTCTAATTAGTATGATGATCTTATCGAACTCTCGCTCGATTGTGCAGAAGAAAAAAGAATATGTAATGGCGTTACTAAAACAAAACATAAAATTGTGAATAAATTTGTTGCATTTTATACAACACCAAAAATATTTTGGGAGTTTTTATTTTTGTTTTTATAATTTTTTTAATATATTTTTTGGAAGGTGATATGATCTTTTCGAGGGAAATTATTATTTAATCCGATCCAAATAATATAAAAGACGGCATTCAGATGGAAAGAACGGTATTTTGAAAAAATTATAAATATTTGAAAAATCAACAACAAAAACGTCGTGGTGTGCATTTAAAATTCACCTAATTGGTTGGGACCTTTATATGAGGACTATGTTATTGGATTATGTTATAGTAGGTGGTTCGTGCTCTGTTCCAAGTTACAGCAACTCAGTTTGGGAAAAATGCGGTAGAAACTTCAACTAACCGATAATTAAACGGGACATTGGTATGGGAGTTTTTTTAACATTAGCCTATATTTGGAGATGAACAGTGGATAAATAGTCAATTGGTAAATATCCGGTAAATTGGGTAAATAACCATTTGTGGGTATTTTATATTGAATTGCCAATACAACATCTTACACACTCTTTCCTGGTATCAAATCTATTCGAAATGGATAGTTTTATAATACAGTGAACACTCAAACTGACATTAAAGCATTAAAAAACCGTAAGAAAAGTTCAAAAGTGGGACGGGGCCGCCTATATGATACCCTTCACCACTTTGGGCACATACAAGAGATGATCATATGTACAATATCCTTTAGATAGAATAGAAATAGCATCTTTGGAGGACCATTGAAATAGAATCGTACGAAATTAACTGTGTGAAGTACATATATATTTGAACTGAATAAAAACAAGTGAAAAGGCGGTAAGTTCGGTCGGGCCGAACTTTGGATACCCTCCACCATAGATATATTGACAGGTACTAGAAATGAAAATATAGGGAACATACCAAAAAGTGGACCTATACCAACATTTCTAAAAACGGATTATGGAAACCATAATACAAATTTTAGAAATTTTTAAAGGATAATAAGACAACTATTTTAATATAAAAACCAGTAAGGAAAGTAGTGAAGTCGGACGGGGCCGACTATATGATACCCTTCACCACTGTGGGCATATTCAACAGATGAATCCTAATAGACGTCGAATTTTTGAAGGACCTGTAAAATGGAATTGGATCCATAAACATGTTATTCTGCAACATATACTAAATTTTTCACTTGGTCAGATACAGGGTTGCTTCAAGCTAGGTTATATTATATTCAATACGTTGTGCCAAATTATTGTCAATCGGCCTAACTTTGCGTCTTTGGTGAACCATTTATCTATCGGACGAAATTATATATAGGTGCTATATCTAAATCTGAACCGATTTACACAAAAGTTAACACACATCGTTCTGGACCTTATTCAGTACGCTGTGGCAAATTTTCTGCAAATCCAAAGATATATAGGGACTTTGGAGACCCATTTACCTTAAATCGGAGGAAAATATATATGGGAGCTATATATAAATCTGACCCGATTTTCACGAAACTTGGCACACATCATTCTTGACCTAACTCAGTACTTTATGCCAAATTACGTGCAAATCGAAAGATATGTAAGGACTTTGGTGCCCCATTTACCTTAAATCGGACGAAGCTTTATACGGGAGCTATATCTAAATCTGGACCGATTTTCACGGAACGTAGCACACATCATTCCGGACCCAATTCAGTACCTTATGCCAAATTTCGTGCAAATCGAAATATATATAGGGACTTTGGAGACCGATTTACCTTAAATCGGACGAAAATATATATGGGAGCTATATCTAAATGTGGACCGATTTTCACGAAACGTAGCACACTTCATTCTGGACCCAATTCAGTACCCTATGCCAAATTTCGTGAAAATACAAGGATATATAGGGACTTTTACTTTAAATCGGACGAAACTATATATGGGAGCTATATCTAAATCTGAACCGATTTTCTCGAAACTTGACACATATCATTCTGCACCTAATTCTATACTCTGTGCCAAATTTCATGCAAATCGAATGATATGTAGGGACTTTGGTGCACCATTTACCTTAAATCTGACGAAACTATATATGGGAGCTATATCTAAATCTGAACCGATTTTCTAGAAACTTGACACTAATCATTCTGGACCTAATTCAGTACTCTGTGCCAAATTTCGTCAAAATCGGAAGATATAGAGGGACTTTGGTGCCCCAATCACCTTAAATCGGACGAAAATATATATGGGAGCTATATCTAAATCTGAACCGATTTTTCCCAATAGGGTTCGTCCTTGGGCCAAATAAGTGACTTGTGCCAAATTTCATCCAAATCGGATCATAAATGCGACCTGTACTTTGTTTACAATTTAACATCTACAGACGGACAGACGGACGGACAGACGGACGGACGGATGGACGGACATGCATAAATCGAGTCAGAAAGTGATTCTATGCATATTCTCAAAAGGAACCATGTGTCTATCTCGTTTCCTTTTGCCTGTTACAAACATATGCACAAAGACATAATACCCTGTACCACAGTGTGGTGAAGGGTATAAAGAGGGTTATATGGGGACTACCCCAAAAAGGGGGCGAATATTAATAATATTTGGTAGGGAGATTTTTCTTACCATATACGACTACAAAATACCAAATTGCAGCAAATTCGGTTGAAAAACGCGCTCAAGAACCCCAAAATACCGAAAATTGGGGGGTACCCTTGTATGGGGGCTACCCGAAAAAATGGACCTATATTTATAATTTTTTGCGGAGAGATTTGGAACCTATTATGAACCCAATGTACCAAATTTCAGCTTATTCGGTTGAAAAACGCGCTGAAGAACCCCAAAATACCGAAAATTGGGGGGTACCCTTATATGGGGGATATCCGAAAAAATTCACCTATATTTATAATTTTTTGTGGAGAGATTTGGTACCTAGTAAGAACTCGAAATACTAAATAACAGCCAATTCGTTTGGAAAAATACGATCAAAAACCCCCAAAATACTGAAAATTATGAGGTACCGTTATATGAGGGCTACCAGAAAAAGTGGACCTAAATTTATAATTTCAGCGTATTCGGTTGAAAAACGCCCCCAAGAACCCTAAAATACCGAAAATTGGGGATACTGTTGTATGGTAGCTATGCCTAAACGTGGACCGATATATCCCATCTTCGAACTTGACCTGCCTGCAGACAAAAGACAACCCCATGCAAAATTTCAGCACCCTATCTCAATTCCTTCAGAAGATAGCGTGATTACAACAGACAGACGGACGGACATGTCTTAGAATTTTACCCTGATCAAGAATATATATACTTTATAGGGTCGGAAATGAATATTTCGATAAGTTACAAACGGAATGACAAAATTAATATACCCTCCATACTATGGCGGAGGGTATAAAAAAACCCATACACATACCATTCTGAAATTTATGAAACATTAAATGACAATCAACGAGCAAAGTATGTACAAGATCTATATAAGAATGGACGTATTTGAGTAACCGTGGCATCCACCATTTGATGTGTTGCATCACAGTGCGCTATCCAAAATTTAACTCAACACAAAATCCAATACACGTTATTCTAGATTCGATTTTGTGCGTTGTGCGGATGAAAATATATGGAAGCTATATCTAAAACTGAATCGTCTTCAATCCTATACGCTATGCAATATATCATGTAAAGCGAACATACATAGGCTCTTCCATTTGCACCATTTGCATATAATCGGACTAAAGTATATATGTGAGCTATATTTAAATCTGAACCGATTTCAAACCTAACCAAAGCATTGTAGACTAAATTCCATACACGCTGCAAAGATTCGTGAATATAGAACAAACATAGGCTCCTCGGTGCGCCATTTACATAAAATCGGACTAAAATATATATAGGGCTATATCTACATCTATATCTAGATCAACAAAACTTCACGGATATCAACCTGTAGTAACTTTAATACGGTATGCAAAATTTTGTCGCAATCGGACAAACATTGGCTATATGGTTCACCATTTACATAAAATCGGACGAAAC